GTACAAACCCAGCCGCGAATTCAACACGTGCAGCTCGCTGTTTGTCGGTAAGTAGAGGTTTCACGTGTGCAGAATGGCTACGAAAAACACCAGCCTGGTAGTAGTCGTGTAAAGTAGACTTTGCAATACCGAGACTACTCGCCAAAGTACGGATGTCGGTTCTGTCTTCCAGGGGAATAAGTTCGATGGCCTCGTTGAGCTGGACGCGGGACTCCGACGTCAACCGCGACTTACGGCCACTTCGACACTTTCTACCGCTCTCGTAGTCGATAGGAGCTCCTGCTTGAATGGCCTTAACCGATCGACGCCACAATCGCGAGATCTGAACGTCTCCACAAGCGTATTTAGTCGCACAAGCTTTAATGGGGCCTTGAGGAGGTGATAGCTCGGTACTAACACTCAGGAGGTAGGCGATAACTTCAGCACGCTCGGCTGGGGTAAGGTTCTTGCGGGTGCGGCACTTTAGAGCGGTGGGAATAGCCATGGGTAGGAACGACGAAGGAAAAAGGTAGAGTGGGATGAAGTGGCACTGTTCCGGAGATCGTAACTTTACTTCTAGCCAACCAATTTATTCGTGAAACCCACCAATCGCATCATTACGCGGAGCGCCTTGCTATTAGCCAATTAATGAACCTTCATACGATGATTTGAGCTTAAAAATGAAATTTTTGGACAAACTGCCTTAAATTTTCGGACGGAGGAAGTACATTTTATACGCTCGTGTATATCCTTTGTCGGAAAGTGCTATACCTTGGTAACACGTATAGTTGAGATCTGGTGCTGGCTCCCTCCCCCCGCAGATTGTGAACTCGAGCCCAATAGACTGCCAAGTCGCCACTACCGACGCCAGGTCTTGGCTAGGCACAGGATGGGCCGTGCTCCAAAGTTCGAAAGACTACAATTTCAAGACATCGGTTTGCCCAAGCAGAACAACCGGCAGCAGCTTGTTTGTAAGCATTGCTTGGCAGCTTACAATAGGCAAGACCTGCAAGAAGCTCCAAAGGTTGTAGCTGCGCGTTTAACTACCTTTAAGACCCACCTTAAGTCCTGTACATTTTACCTAGAGGCTGTCAAGAGTGGCCAGGTACAGCCTCCTCAAGCTACCCAAGTTTCACACAGTGTGATTAACGGTTTCGAGCGCCAAGTGGACCAAGAAAATCAACGAGAAGTAGCATCCTCGGCTAGTTCCGACAAGCGCCAGCGCTTCATTCGGGAATACTTTGACAATGTATTCACGGAAGACAAACATGAAGAATTCGAGCGTCTTCTTATCCAGTTTCAAGCCGACAACTGCCTGCCCGATCGATTTATTGAGAAAGGATCTACTGTACGTCTTTTTACTTTTCTGAATAGAGCCTGTACTACTGCTCTACCGAAGAGAAAAGAAATGGGGAAGATTTTGGACAAGTACAGCCAAGTCGAAGAAGAAGAGCAGCATGTTGCTCTGAGAAACCGAATGGAGTTCAGTGGTGGACGCGTGAACTTTTTGTCGGATGTTTGGCAAAACGTTGCTAAAATGCACTTACTTGGGTGCATGTTAGCTTTATTTGGTACTATCTTGACTTTTGGCCTATTTAAGACTGGGCCAAGGCATGATGGTGTTGCGATCGTTGAGCAAATGGAAAATGTGATGGAGAACGTAACTGAAAAAGGCTGGGAAATCGGTGCTGTTGTAAGTGATGATGCCGGTCAATGTTGGCGCGCCGCATTCTAGCGCTCCGGTACCCGCGTATTGCGTTTATTCATTGCTTTGCACACGATATAAACAACTTGGTGAAAGCTGTTTTAAACTCGGCTTTTAAAATACTGACGAAGAAAGCATCGCTCGCGACTGCGACACTGAATGGATCGTCGTCGAAGTGGCTGATTCGTGCTCAAGCTGTAGTTTTGGCTACTTATGGCAAGCAATTGGGCTTTATCAATCTCTGTGAAACACGTTGGAATTGTAAGCAAGGCTGCTTTGCATCCCTCTTGCGTGTTAGAAATGCACTTCACCAATTTTCGGTTAAGTACACCAATGACCCCGAGTTTCCAGAAGCTCTCAAGATTTTTGGTGATACAGATTTCTGGGAGAACTTAAAATCTGCCGAAGAAGTTATCAGACCTCTCTCAAACGCTTCCTACAAGTTACAGCGCGAAAAGACCACGCTTGCAGATGTAATTGTCTCTTTCCGAGACATATATCGTGGATTTTTGGGAAACTTGGTCAATTTGGATTTAGTGGCGCTTGTGGAGGAATGATGGCTGAAATGCGAGCAGCCTTCGATACTGTTAGCACTATTCTTACATCCCCGTCACGTTTGTGTTGCCGTCGCAATACATAAGGAAGAGCCTCAACTGCATCTTCTAGAGAGACTATTGGATACGGCATTTACTATTATCGCCGGTACATCGCTAAAAACGATGAGGAGGATATTGAGAGCTTGCTAGTTGACTTTCACGAGTGGTATCGCGGTAGTTTCGTTGATCAGGCACTAGTTCGCTTCAATGGAGACGTCGGGCAATTCTAGAGCTTTGCAGCAGACGTCAAACGCGAGTCAAAATTGCCGAAGCTTGCGGCAGTGATTCTTTCAATCGCCGTAAATACTGCAACCTGTGAACGATATTTCAGCGAGCTGGCTGCGATTCATACTGCAAAGCGGAACAGGATGAACCCCGAAAAAGCGCGCAAGTTTTCCCTTGTTCGTCAAGCAGTTCGAAACCTCGACAGAGTAGAAAACGAAGGGATGGAGTCCATGGAGCTCAAACGTATTGTTGATGCCACTGAAAGAATGCAAATTGGCAATTGTGACGCGACCCCAGCTGTGACCATGGAGGAAGCCGAGGAAAATCTTTTAGTCGAGCACCAAGAAATACCTGGGCTTGATACCCCCGAGTACTGGCAGAGCGTGTTTGATGTCCTTGGTGAAGAAGCCTCAGATTGGGACGGCAACTTCGACGAAGAGAGTGAACTATGAAGCATCTGAAGATGAGCAAAACCGAGAAGTCGATGAGCCCGTATACAACGGGTTCGGTGAGGTCATCCCACTGCCAGGTAAAAGAGAATTTCCTCGGACTAACGATCCGTCCATCTCCCAGGAGACAAAGTTGACCGGTGTCCGCGGCCAAAAGTTCCACCTCAAGACACTTTTCTCTTCGGACAAGACGTTTGGTTTGGCCCCTTACATGTCGTAATTCCAGTAATAGCCTTGAATTGCTTGTACGTTTGCCTGATAAGTGGTCTCAATTTCTCGAATCAATGTTGCTTCGACAACAGGGCTTGAACACTTCACCAATTCTGCGTTGGCCGCGATATTTAAGGCCGAGTCGGGCAGAGAGAGCAAGTCCAGCGTGAGAGCGACCCCAGCACCAAGTCCAGCGAGAGCAAGTCCAGCTGCGAGGGCGACGCCAGCACCGCGGGCGACTCCACCACCGAGGGCGAGTCCGGCAGCGAGAGCAAGTACAGCGTGAGAGCTAAGGAGGTAGTGTCGACCGTTTATCTTCTTTATCCGGTTTGCTTCGAGACTGAATCGCTCACTTGCTGCCCTTCCTCTTCTTGGTCTGTCTGCTTTTTAGTCATGAAGAAGGCCGTTGGTTCCGCTGAGAAGACCTTCCAGGTTGGATGGAATCCAGCCGCTAGAGAGTGACTGTCCGGATTCGTCCGGATAATACGAAGACGCACTTGCAACCGTCCGGATTTATAAAGCCGATCGGCTTTATTTCGGCTTTATCGAAGAGCCGAAAATAAAGCTGCGGCACAATCCAACACTGCCACAAATATTCCACGAGCATCCGATTGGGCAAAAGCTAAAAGAAAGTTAAGAAAATACTTAGGCACTCGCAGCCAAATTCTTGACGTTCGTTAGGTGGAAAATTTGAGGTCTCAATGGCGCTCTAATACTTCGGATAAAACCTACCGCTGGAGATGCTCTAAGTTCCAAAGCATATCAGTTTCTAAACGAGATTAGAAACGACCTGCTTTTCCAAAAGTTGGTACGTACTTAGCATATTGAAATACCGGGCATCTGTTTCTAAACTATTAATAGATTAGAAACGACCTAGTTTTTCAAAAGTTGCTATTTAACCAAATGTTAGAAGGTTTCACTATCAGATGAACCCTCTACACCTGACGAGATCTCCAAGCTATCCTGCTAAACAAGAATGCGTCACCCTAGACGAATCCTCACAGACGGCAAGTACACCACAAATAAGAATCAACGTTAATTTCGTGCTCCTACTGCGCACTTTGCTCGTTACGCTGGTAGAATGCCTTGTGCGCGGGGTTCTGCATGGTAGCACTGTCCTTCAGCTGGCGATTCAGCAGCTTCATCACATGGGAGCCTTCTTGAATATTCTCAATCGAAAAAGCTAGCGACTCATTGATAAGGTCCAATTTATATATGCTCTCGTTCAGCGACCCGCTCGAGGTGCCCGTCAGCGTCGAGCGCAACGAGTCATTTGACTTTTCTATCCAGAGCGTAACAACAACAACACACAACGCCATCAGCTCCGTGGCATACTGTAAACTGTAGTCAAAGGCAACTTACTGAGCGTTTCAAGCTTATTCTCCAGAGACGCCGGCAGTTGCTCCTGCTGCTGCTCCACCGAGCTCTGAGCGCGGAAGACGAAGGAGGATGATACCGGCACGGAGCTGGAGATGGATGAGGCCGCACGCGCAGCTGTCACTGCCGCCAACTCCGAGCCGCGCTCTCTGGCCTCTTGCAGCTTTTTGAAGGCGAACTCGCGCAACGCCGACGTGTCCATCAAGATGGATCGCTAATCAGAATGTGGTAATTGATTGGCCGAAATTGTGGCGCCATTTTCATTTTACCACATTTGCAATTGAGACTTGATTGACAACAGTATTGATCATGCGCACGCGCATCTGGGAGGACGCTGCCGCCATGAGCGTTGTGAGCGTACTGGGCTTCATTATGAACGAGGATGGCGAGGTCGTGGGCTCGGAGCGCACACAGGTGCTGTGCAAGCTCATGCCGTCCATCCACACGCTGTCGCACCGCGCAATCCTGGCGCTGCTTATCACGCAGCTCAGCGACGCGGACGCTCAAGTGTAAGATACTACCAGCGGGTTTAAACAGGAAATAGGATGTTGAGGTAGATACTGACAATGGTACTTGGGAATGGGCCAGATTCTACGCGGAAGGTGGGCTGAAGGTGCTGAATGCGTGGCTGGTAGACGGTACCACCCGACGCGAAGGTGGGCTTTCCAAAGAGAAGAAGCGCACCGAGATGTATTCCCAAGTGCGCGCATTGCTGCGGGTGAGAGACGAGCAATTTACTGATATTGACGCTGTGGAGAGCTGTGTTCATGGCAACTAACATATTGGTTGGTGCGTATATTGCAGATTCTAGATGTGAATGTGCAAACGGACGCACAACGGAAGCAGAACTCATACCTTACAGGCACGTTCGCAAAGGTTATTGAGCTACTGGACAATGCGGGACCAGGTACAGCCATCTACACGTATAATGCAAGCTCCAACTGTCGCAATAGTTGACTGAATTCCTTGTCTACTGTGAACGCAGAGTACGCGGCCGAGTGGAGTCGATTGAACATTTACCGTCGTCACTTTGAAAGCACTTGCGGTGTGCCCTCAACCGTCAAAGATGGACGCAGTGACTCCCGACGATCTTCCAATAGCCACGCGAATGGCAATGGCTCTCGCAACGGCAAGACAGCCAGTGATAATTCAACGCAGCACTCTTTCCTGTCTTCGACGTCTTCTACTACCACGTCGACGTCTAGTGCTTCAGCACCTCGAAAACCTTCCACTTCGGGATCATCGACTGGGCTTTCTTCCACAACATCTTCCAGCACTAGCACAACTAGTAGCAGCCGGATTGCACCTTCCTCAGTGCTGCAATACCAACCCAAGTCATTCCTGCAGAAAGATAATGGCTCCAACAAGCAAGATCAAGATGATTTCGAGGAATACGTGGAAGATGACGATGAAGAGATGCTGCTGGCCGACGAAGGCGTGATCACTAATGTGAACCAAGCAGCGTTGAGTGCTTCTCTGGAACAAAAAATCCGAGGAAATGGACACGACATGCAGTACGGAGAGCGCTCGCCATGTCGGAAGTGCAAGCGCATGGTCTCGAAGCGTTGTACTCACTGTGAGTACTGTGCCAAGTGCGGACAGAAGGACAAGTGCGAGCCGATTAGTGTTACGCCAGCAGCACAGTCTTTCAGTGGTGATGGCAACGGTACGAAGACGGCAGGAACGAGCATGGGCGCTAAGTCGCTGTCCGTGAAGGACCGCAATGTGCAAGTGCTCGGCTCGGTGATGGATGCGGCTATCTACCATGCCTTCCGCCAGGAGGATTTCCACTCAGTGTTTAGTCTGATCCAGAACGGCATGGACGTGAATTTCCAGCGAGTTGAGTCTGATCACTCGTCGGCGTTGATGGCGGCTGCACACCACGGCCGCGACGACGCTGCCTCCAAGCTGCTGAGCCTTGGAGCGAACCCGTGTCTTGAAGACCATACAGGCAACAAGGCGTGGAACTTTGCTGAGCGACGAGGACACACAGAGCTGATGGAAAAACTGAAAAAATGCTGCGAGGAATGGGAAGCGAAACACAAGGATGGAGATGTTGAAATGCAGTCCTAAAAGATGTGCATTATTCAAGAAAAGTCTCGCGATAAATCAACTAGTAAGGACGAAACAAAGCGAGAGATTTTTTGTTGTACTCATGCTCAGTCAGATCATCTTTCTTTATGTTTTATTTGAGCTGGGCGTACCTTGCTTTCTTGACTTCTGTGAGGTCAGAACTTCCAGTCGGGGTTCACGTCCATAGCCCACACAAATTTCTCACGCAGCGTCTTGGAAAACACTGCAGAAATGGGTACTTCGTTCTGTAAAAAATAATAAAAAACTTGTTAGTAAAAAGAAAAACCTTTAGAAAAAGTATTAGAACAGCAGGACGTACCCTTTTGCACCATGCGACGGTGATGCGCGGGTCCATGTAGTTAAGCTTGGACGTGCCGAGCGCCACTTCCTTGTTGTCCGTCTTGTCCTGAAGACGCAGAGACAACGCCTTGATCTTTTTCTTCCAGTTCTCAATCTTCTTCGTAACTTGGTCAGCTGAGGGTGTACGCTGGAACAAGTGAGCCTGAGCTTTCTTTGCCAGAGCATCCTCCTCTTTGTCGGACGCAGGCTTCTCCTTCTTCAACTTGATACTGCTAGCCTTACCCGTCGAAATCAGCTTCTGCATTTGTTTCAGGTCCTTCAGTTGATCTTTTAGCTGACCCAGTTGCGCATTCATCTTGTCCAACGTCGTGTCAAAAGACTTGGGGGCAGTACGTTGATGATTACACAGGATAGCAACCTTCCGGTTGGCGTCATTGTACAGCACAACCTTCGGCGCTACTTCCATCTTGCCCTGCGGATCCAGCTCCTGTCCTGACGGGCCTGGCAGCTCCTTCTCCAGCGTGAACGACGCATTGAATGTACGAAACACCTTCGCACTGAGTCCAGGCATCAGCGAGCTCAAGTGTTTGTTCAGCTCCGTGACCGACAACTCATGAAAAACTTCCTCGTTCTTCCCCTTCTTGGCGCAGAACTTCTGTAAGTTATGGTACACTTGCTTACCCACGTCCCCATATTGTGCTAGTTCGACAGTGTTGTTGTACGGCATCGAGTCCTTACCCAGAAAAGACAGTGTGAGGGCACAGTTCTCGTCGTTGAAGGACATGTGCTCCACACGCAAACTGCAGCAGCCAACTGTATCAGCCTCGTCCTCTCCTTTCTCGTTACCCACACGCAGCGCCAGCACATCAATGACCCACATAGCAGTCGAACGCTGTTTGGTGAACATATCCTTGGCCTTTAACCCCTTTGTATAATCCCGACGGATCTTGTCGATGCATTTCTTCAGTCGTCGAGCCTTTTCGTACTTAGCCAAGTCCGATTTGCCCTTAAAGCTCGAACTAGCTGCAAAGAAGACGTACTTGATGCCGCCCATAACGTTCTCGTTCCAATATGCTAGCCACGAGACCGTATCACGATGAATCACCTGCTTCCAAGCGTGACCCGGGACGTTGCAAATGGGTACACGATCCGAAATACCCACATTAACTGTCACATCTTCAGGCATCACACGTTCCTTCAAAGTACCAGTCTTTGGGTGCTCACCACGACCACGGAACAGACCAGGAGGCTCAATACGGAAGTTGCCAACCTTCTCTAAATGGCCGTCTACAAAGGCGAAACCATTGGTGAACACCTCCATCTCGCGCTTCTCTTTCTCTGGCAGTTTCTCCTCTTTCGTCATGTTCTTCTTCTCTTCGCGAAGCTTCTCCAAATGAGCAGCAATTCGAGAAAAGTCGCACCCTTCAAATGTCTTGACTTCATGCTGTTTGCCCAGCACCTTCTTGAAGTCTGTGAAGAAGTTCTTGTTGAAGATCTTGGCTGTCTTCGGGTTGCCGAGTTGTGGACCGTCCTTGGGGATAGCAGCATAGAAACTGGCGACTTCTTCCTGACTAGGAGTCAGTTCGATCTCTTTACCATTGTATAGCAGTGGCACATGGTGTGGTTTGTATGGGGGAGGGAACATGACGCCGTTGTGCTCTAGTGTGCGCCACTGGATGCCCTCGGGCAGCTCCTCTGCGTTCCACCAGCGGAAGGCCTTGATGGCCATATCCAGTCGCTCGCTCTTGGAATGCACCTTGAGTTTGCGTACACTGACAGACTTCTCCTTCTTCACCTTGACCTTGCCATTGGATACCGACGAAGTGACCTTAATCTTTCGGCTTTTAGAGGCAGAAGTGGCGGAAGAAGAACTCGGGGCTTTCCGCTTCACACCCGTCTCCTTTTTGACCGACACCTTCTTCTTCTCTGTGGTTGGTTTACTGCTTTTCGTTATCACCTTCTTGCTGACAGCCTTCTTCTTAAGCTGTACCAGAGGCATACTGTCAGAGTCCGAGTCCTCATCGATCACGCGTTTCGTCTCCTTCTTCACCACTCGTGCGGCGTTGCGCCTGGCAGAGGGAGAGGAGCCATTGGGCGTCGGCGGCTTGCTCTTCTTGCGCAGTACCGAGATGGGGATCAGGTCGTCGTCACTGCTGTCCATAGCCTTCGCGATCTAGTTGGCTACACACGCGGAGAAAATTGCACACTGTCAGATCGCGATCTTAGGGTAGGGAACGCTCTTCAGACTGCGGGGATCGCTAGAAAATTTATCTATCCTTCTGTGCAGTCAGATAGACCGTATCTTGTCACTTCCCCTCGATCAGAACTCACCTCCGAGCCGCTTCCTGTTGATCACTATTATTTACTGGAGAGCTGGCGACGCTTGCTGGAGCTGTAATTTTGTGTACATCAGTCGCACACTGAGCTATGTGCAACACATGAAATATGATATGTGGTACACATCACCTAATGTTCAAGACGCCAACTTTAAAGTACCGTCTATGTGCCTGTTTGAGCAAATGATCTGGTGACGGCAAGTTCTTGCGGTGGTCAGAGCTCCACGGCCTCCACGCAGGAAAAGTACGTCACTTTGATAATCAAAGTTTGATCATGGCAGGCGGCAACTCGGACGCTTCAACGCAGCGTGTGGCCACGCAGGTGGCGGTGGCGGCTGCTGGTGTGGCGCTTGCCTACTACGTTGGATCGCGCAGCAAGACTGCGAAGCGCGTGGCTGCTCAACGCCGCGCCAAGGCGGTGGCCGCGGCCAAGGCGGCGGCGCTGCCCACGGACCTGGAGCGCCGTAAGCTCACGTCTGTGGTGGTGCGTGTGCCGGCCACGACCGCCAACATGGGACCTGGTTTCGACACTATCGGCATGGCGTTGGACATCTGGACGGAGATTTCCGTGGAAGTTGTGGCCCCGAAGGAGGGCGACGCGCCTAATGTGCGCCGCATCACGCTCACAAACGAGGGCGAGGGCGCCAAGGAGTTGCCGACGGACGAGAGCAACCTCGTGATCGTTGGTATTAAGGCTGCCTTCAAGGCTGCGGGCGAGGAGATGCCTCGCCACCTCAAGGTGCACTGCAAGAACCGCATCCCTTTCGCGCGCGGACTGGGCAGCAGCTCGGCTGGCATTGTGGGCGGCATCATCGCCGGCCTTGCCCTTGCTGGTATGCGTCTGCCTGTGCATGGCCGTGAGGAGCTTCTGCAGCTGGTAAGTAGCTACAATTGGTGTCTTGTGTCCAGCGAATACGCGATCTGACACTGTTCTGCTCTTTTGCTCAGGCCTCAGAGATCGAAGGACACCCCGACAACGTGGCTCCCGCCATCTACGGCGGTCTGCAGCTCGGTATCTTCGCTGACGACCGCTGGTACTCTTCGCGCGTGCAGATCCCGGACGGACTGCAGTGCGTCGTGTTTATCCCTGACTCGACGGGTCCCACGAGCGTTGCACGCGCTATCCTGCCGCCTGACGTGCCCCGCAAGGATGCCGTGTTCAACATCGGTCGCGCTGCCATCTTTGTGAACGCCTTCCGCTCGGGCAACCTCGACGAACTGCGCTACGCCACACAGGATATGCTGCACCAGCCGCAGCGTGGAGCCGCACAGTACCCGCACCTGGAGCCGCTCATTAAGGCGGCGCTGGGAGCTGGTGCGCACGGCTGCTTCTTGAGTGGTGCCGGCCCCACCGTCTTGGCTATTACTAGCGGCCGTGCTGGTGACATCTTCACGCAGCAACTGGCTGAACGTCAGGAGAACAAGGTGGCCAACGCCATGCGTGAAGCTGCCGCCGCGCTGGGTGTCTCCGGGTGCGTGTTCATCACCAACCCGGACCACCGTGGCGCCTTCATCGTGCGTGCGGAACCGCAGTTCTCGGACCGCTCTGTTGCGCGTTACGAGGGCGACGTTGCCGACCTGTAGAGTGCCAGTAGCCTAGTAAATGGTGAGATGGAACGCCAATACATTATGGTACTTTAGATGAAGTTGCCTTGTTTTACGATAATACATTGCTTCTTTGTGATGCTCCAGCAAGATTCAATAGCACAAAAATCTTCTAGATTAATAGATTACTTCGTAAGGTACGTGTGAACTTGACTTTGATGAATAGTTTACGCAGTGGTAGTAGCCACTCGGATGTTGAGCGGCCGTAGGGGGTTGAGCTTCTGAGCCTTCTTGCGGTTCGTGACGATCAACGCCGTCAACATACTGTTGGCATGAACTGCCTCGTTGCCGCCGGTCATAACACCTTGCTGTCCGTGCGAAACAGACAACAATGAGGCGCCTTGAGGGAACGCACTTCCCGTTGCATCAGCCACGGCATTCAGGTCACCCTGCAGCACGCGGTCGTAGCTCATGCCAACACTGAGGAAGCAGCCGATGACATCTTGCAGATCCATTGTGGGAACGGATACTCGAATAGCATCACGCAGTCCACGACGCGCCTTGGAAGCCACACCACGAGGAGACAGGGACATCATGTGTAGTCGTTCGCCGAGACGCACCTCAGCGCCCAAGTGCAGCGAAAGATCACGTGCCGACGTCTCCGGTTGCAGCATCTGGTAGCGTGAAGTATTCCGCTTAAGACCACGGGGTACAGCACCACGTCGCTCACGAGCAACAGGGTAGTAAGCTGGCAGTAGATTGGACTCGAGGTTGAATTTCTCTGGTCGATGCGTCATCTCCGCCAGCATGCCGTGAGTTGCCTCGTTAATCGCCTCCAGTGCTGGCTTGTGGTCCAATGCAAACAAATCTCGGCCACTCGCCTTCGTCACGACGAAGCTCTTGTCTGTTGCATCGTAGCATGTGAATAACGCGTGTGCAACCTCCACACTCGGACAGCAGATAGCAAAGCATGCGCCGTGCTTGGTCACACAGCCAACGTTGCCTCCTTCCGAGCACAACTGCGTGGCATATCCACGGCTACTAGCCGTATGACGAGACGAACTACCGCCGACAACGGAGTACGAGCAGTCCACGATCTCGTTCACAGCCCGCGTAATCTGCTCTTCCTCTCCATCTCGCTGGTCATCGACATCATAGGTGTCCTCTCCGCCTCCCATCACAGTCCACACGAAGTCCGGACTCTCCTCAGGCTCCATCGCTAGCATCTTCATGCCATCCGTTAGACATCTCCGCGCAGCATCACGTGGACTCTCACGATCCAAATCGGCATTCAAGATCGCATAAGATCCTTCCGGGTCGTAGATTCCCCACAATCCAACAGTAGGGCCTTGAGATCCAGTGTTGCCGCGGTGTCGAGAATTATTACTGCTGTTTCCACCACTCTTGTTTAGACCCAGCGCTGATGCAGTAGCTCCAACATACACACCACCACTGGAGGTACCGCCCATGAAAAGCGTATCGGGAGCTGCACGTGCCAACGCTTCATACACCGCAGCGCCGTTATGGTGGTGCGAATAGGAGACCAACATAAAGTGCGGATTTTGATCGCCCAAAGCGCTAACGAGCTTCGCGAACGCTGATGTGGCCGCTGCAAATGTGTCGGGGTCGTGGGATACTGTACTTGCAACTTGGACATCGCATTTGTAGACATTTGCCATTCGAGGCACAGCCGAGCGACTTCCAGCGAGCTGACTGACACTAAAGTCGTTGATCACTGACGAGAAGCGTGAGGAAGCACCAGCAGGTGAGCGACTGGGGTCTCCGTTCGGCATGAGGTAGCTTCTCGCCTGTAACGAGCAGCTCGTGCAGAGTCTTGCTTGTGTCTCCGGTTGGGCTCCAGGCTGCAACGTCCACTTCCGACTGCATTGTCCGCAAACAGCTTCACCACAGGATCGACAGTGGTGCTTGGACTTCACGATTGAGAAGGAGCACATGCAGATCGCGCACTTGTTGCTACGTGCTGGTTTCCACTGGTTCTTCGGGAGTACCGCAATGGGACGGAAGAGCGTGTTAAACAGCAATTCGCGGATACCAATGAGTCTCTCGGTGAAGTTGTGGATGATTTTGGCTCCTACTGAGCTCGCAAACTGCTTCTGGAAGTCGATCACCATCATACACGTCACTTCGTATGTGCCTGAGGCATCACCCGACGGCGAGACCACATAGACGCCTTTGTTAATCACGGCACGTTTGCACTTGGCCACACTGGGAGGAATAGCCACGTCTTCTCCCGCTAGACGGATAGCCAACTCGTCTCCCTTAAATGACTCGACCGACCGAATGTAACCGTACCCACGCTTCCTTCCGTCGGCCATTGCTTCGATATTCGCGTATTCCACAAAGAAAAAGTCCACTGGCTTGACGAAGCGCCCGGCAAAGCGACTTGCGTGCCACTTAACCTGTAAATGTGGGAACGAATCACTCGAGTCCTCATCGACACTAGACGTGTCGTCATGACTCCCGCTTGCAGTTGTTGTAGCTGATGCGCCAGACGGGAACAGTAGCGTCTGTCCGGAGTTCGCCATGGATGCGGGAGCGCGTTCCGGTAGTTCCATACGTTTGATAACTGCAGCATGTAGGAGGCCAGGGAACACCTGCGACTCGATATCGTAGTAACTCCTTGAGTTACTTGGTGTAAGATACTCCATAATCGTCCCTAGATGCGCCTTCACCTCGCACGAGACACGGAAGTACAGCTTCGTGGACGAATCTTCCTCGGACGGGAGCGTCGCTGGTCTGTAGACGTGTACGTCTTGTGTGCGCTTGGACAGTTTCCACGACACTTTGCCGCACAAATTGGCCACGTCGATGGCCTCATGCGCCTTCTCTTCCAGCCTCAAAGCGATGTTGGCCACGTCCTTATGCACAGATGAAGACGCCGGGGAGCTGGCTGTCGTGTTTCTCTTATGACCCGACGAGGCCAGGCTGCTGCCATCGAACTTCTGCGAGCGAGAGCTTTCCATGAGTTCGTCCACGTGTAGTCTGCCCTTCTCGCCCCGGCCGGGTAACTTCCTGCTGTCAGTGACATCGTTGTCGTCCTGATTGCTGCTTTGCTGCTCGTCGCTGTCCCGGCTCAGCCCCTGTGCGCTCGGGTAGCTGCCGAGCGAGAAGGTCATGTCGAAGGAACTAGGGCGCATGGGCTCCACCGTGTCCACGCCATCCTGGTCCACGCCGTCGAGGTCGAGGCGGAAGCGGTCCATACTGCAGATCTGTCTAGATAGCGAAAAGCGTTGTCGTTATTCGTCTATTGTGCGCGTTGCACTGCGCGGATAGGAGCGAGAGCGGCACGATATGGAGCAGGAGATCGCGGCGATTCTCTTAAGATCCACGTTATTCCGCTCTTCCAGGCGCACGGACGTCTCCAGACACGTGGAAGTGGAGACAGCGGCGGCGGTTTCTTCCTCCAGCTCGCGTGCGATTATAAAGTGACTGACAATTGTGAAGGCATCCGGTATCGTCGGTTCAAAACGATCGACTTGGATAAAGTATACTTGCCCCATCACCTCAGGTCCGACCCCTAGTTTATCGTCCGATCGTGTCCCGCTACCTTGGAGCGTTGCAGCGTGGCAGCAACGACATCATGTCGGCGATTGAGCCGCGCCGAAATCCACGCGGCGAGCCTGTAGGCGTACAATGCCAATGGGGCTTAAGTGATGTTGCTATGTATCTGAACCGAAAAAATAAAAACGCTAGATAGACGGTCGACAATGTGGGTCAAGAGCTCACACGGGCGCGCGCGTCCTCCAGCGACGCTTTCGGGTCGACCCAGGTCAGTTGGCATTGATGCAACAGCATGTAACACGTCGCCGCGTTGTACTTGAGTCAACCATTTCTCTGCAGCTTCCGGGGGATATTGGTGGTGGCCACAGCCTTCAATTATCGTGGCCCGCGATCGCGCTACGAAAGAATAAAATCCGGGTGCAAGGCACGGCTGAAAAGCTGCACGAACGCCGCTCTTCATCATGAAGATCGCGCGTTGAATGCGACATGGATTTTCCGTTAGGGCGGCACTGGGCTATGAACGAGTCAACTCGTGCACTAAGCCCGCGCGCTTGGTGTATTGCTGCATACGTTACTCGGTGTTGCCACTGAGGCACCACCGAGGCGACGACTGACTGCCAGCCTTGCTGTCTGACTCAAGCCGCTACGTATGGCTAGTCGAGCTTGGTCGTTCCACTTCCAAGAGAGAGTCCCAAATTTTACTTTGGGAAAAGCTAGGCGTGTTGCTCTATGCGAGATCCGGAATGGCGTGTTGGGCTGGGTTGGTCTGTACCAGTTCCCAACGCAGCATTTGCCGAGTATTGAAGCTTCGAGATGACAAAGACGACCTAGGTGCACGTACAGATGAAGGAATCAAGTTGGAGACTCACGACATTGTCCGCCTTTCAGTCGATAGAAAGAACTAGTGATGACGGTTTTATAATGAAGATGTACAGGAGTGTTGTGGCATATCTTCCACTGTGGAAGTTCCACATCTTGGTGCGATTCCTAGCTTCCGGGCATGAAGCGCTCGACAACGAATGTACACAGCAGCTTAGCTTTCGGGACGGCAGTCACGCACTCGCTATTTTACTAACGCAGTAAAGTGGTGGCTCGGCCCCTCCGCCCTTCGAAGTAATACTTCAGAAATATTATACTGTATACACCACAATACTTCGTAACATGAGCATATGTTTCGATACGAGATTTCAGTGGGTTTTCGATGTCTTCTGTTCACATTTTCAATCCAAGAGCTTTAGCTAACATTTTTTTTTACCGTAAAGAGTTCATTGCAGTTGCTTGCATCGTTTGTCTGATCACCGATTATCCTGCTCGTCCTTCATCCAGTTGAATTCAAACCCAAAATCCGCACCTTCACATACCAATGTCAGTAGGATTTTTCTCCGCTGACATTCAAATCGGGCGTACCAAAGTGTACCAAAGGAAGCTGCAGCAGGATAACTATCCATACAAAGAGCCGGCCTTGTAACAACTCCGCCTCAGTCTCCAGGACAAACGCAAGCTGGTACAGCAACGAAAAACCAAGCTTACGCTTCACAACGACATGAAGCCAGAGTAGAGATAGATTCTCCGTCGATGCATAGGCCATGATACTGCCAACAGTTGTGTTTAGTTGTTCAGAGGAAAGACTTCGCGTGTGAGGATAATACTTGGCACTGGGAAGGTTGACGAGAATCGATAGGTAGGCAGCATACATTAACGGAATGATGCCTTCGATGTATCCAACCAATGCTCGATATTCAAGGTAGAACAGCAATTTGGATGCCATCGCAAGTTTACTCTCCTTAATAGTTATTTTGCCTGAATGTGATGCAGCGGCGTTGAGCTTTTTAACAGAGGTTGCGCATCTCTGCGTTTTATGTAAACTCGAAGAATGGCTACAGGCATCGAGTATCGGAACAATACTGTGCGATACTTGAGGAACAATGCCATTCTTTCGATCTAATTTACTGAGCAACGCTGCTGCGCGATTGATCTCTAGGATCGATAGTACCGTATATCCACCGTTCAATGCGATCATCAAAAAGGATGCCCACCACGTACCCGACGACTGCATACATATCGAAGTGTACAGTCCGTTGAACACATCGACGGAGAAGACAACAACAGCAGGAATTGACTCTTCGTCGTCTGAAGCGAGGCGCGCGATCATCTGCTTGAGACTGATTTTCATTACTGGAAGCAGTATGAGGAGGCCAAGCCGCTGGTGGTAAGTGCACCTTGTGAAGACAATACTGTAGATTGTGTAGGTAACGACTAACACGGCTTGGGCGATGATGAGAAATATCTTCTGCTTGAGTGGGTCCATTATCTTAGGGCAAATGTTCCTCTCAGATCGCTTCATCAGTGTTGCAACAAAAAATATTACAAACAGAGTCGCGGCCAGACATCCAGTAATGACGACGCAAAAGGAACAGGAAAGACCCACAGACTGGCAATCAGTATTGTCGTCGAGGTTGCTCCACAAGCGGTTCCGATAGTAATCCCCAGCATCTTCTGATAGGAAAGTTCTGGTGTAGATGCTCGAACCTGGAATAGCAAACCAGCCGAGCCAGAAGCAATCGTAATCCATAGACGACACCAAGCTCCGTGGTTAGCTTTCCATCCAAGTGCTGGATCCTGCAACGGTATACTCTCTGCTAACAACTCGCAAAGTAAGGCAGGCCACGGCATCAAAATCTCTACCAAAAGCACTCGGATGAGAGGTGTTCGCTGACAATAAACGTTGAGGCTTTTGACACGTCCAACAGAATACTTTCCAAGCAGAGAAATTTTGGCGTGGCCCCGTAGCTGATGCACATATTTAAACACCCGTGCCAGTCGAGAACGAACAACTTGTTGGTGAATACTGGAAGCAGCAGGCCCATCAGGAACGATAGGATTTAATGGCATCAAAACCTCTTCAGGACAAGCCCAGTGTATGCAGCATGAAGATGCAGTGAACAGCCTATTTTAAGAACGACTATATCTGGAGGTCATGGTCTTCTTTAATTAATAAAAACCTGGCAATGCAGAACGTTGAAAGCCCCCCCCTCAAAATAACGTTGTTTTTTTGCAATCGAGCAGATTCAAAAACAAAATTATTTTCAGATAAATAAATTAAATGGTATAGCTTAATAATTAAGAAAGATACTCAGTACAATTTTTTTAATTAAAAAAACTGTTTCAGTTTAGTAAGTTGTATTCAAACGTAAATTACGTTACGTAATGCAAACAAAAAAATAGTGAAGCGACGGGTTTATTACCTGGATATCTTTCCACGACGTACGGCCAAATTGTGGCACGTTACTGCACAGAGGCATTGGGAGTCTGAACAGCCTTGTAGTTTTGGTCAATATCCTTGAAGCTTGGGTCGATGTCGTCTTCTTTTGCGATACCTTCTCTGTCCAAAGAACTCAGCTCCTCCAGCGTCAGGTTCTTCGTCTCCGGCACCCAGAACGAGAACAACAGACCCATGAAGCAGCACGCAGCGAAGATGTACAGCACACCCTTGAAACCGAACGAGCCCTTCGCAATCACCGCGAAACACTGCGCGGCAATGATAGCTCCAACCTTGCCGGATGCAGCGGAGATGCCGTGACCCGTGGAGCGCACCGCCGTGGGGAACACCTCAGCAGGGATGATGAACGTTGTAGCGTTGGGACCGAAGTTGAAGAAGAACTGTGCGAACGAGTACATGACGACGAAGACGGCCGTGCTGTCGGTCTTGAGCTCGTTGAAGAAGATGGCCATGAAAAGGAACAGCAGCGTCAGCAGCGCGAAACCCATGTACTGGATGGGCTTGCGACCCCACTTGTCCACGAAGTAGACCGTGAACCAGTAGCCGGGAACTGTACCCGCGAGGTTGATAATAGCCGTGCCGACCGAGCGGTTCCACAGGTCGTCGTAGATCTTCTGGTTACCCGTGGACGATGGACTGCCGTAGCCGATGATTTCGAGCACCACCGACGTGTTGAGTGACGTGCCGTAGTAACCGATGTCGAGGAAGAACCAGGCTGCGGCACAACCGATGAGCACCTTAAGGTTGGCCCACTTGTTGAAGTAGGTCTTGAACGAGTAGGAGAAGTTCTCGAAGAATCCGGTCTTGCCGTCGCCCTTGACGTACATGTCGGTAGTGATCTTGTCTGACGCGAGGAACTGGTTGGCAGCACGTGCACCTTCCTCAGTGTCGCCGAGCACGTCCATGGCGTATCGTGGCGTTTCCGGAATCTTCAGACGCCAGTAGACTGCGGCCAAGGCGGGGATAGCGCCGAACGCTGCCAGTGTACGCCAGCAGTATCCGAGTGACGATGCACCGTTCTCGAG